TGAGGACACTGCCCTATAACACCCCACAGCTCACATGGGGACAGTGAGGACACTGCCCTATAACACCCCACAGCTCACAGGGACAGTGAGGACACCGCCCTATAACACCCCACAGCTCACAGGGACAGTGAGGACACTGCCCTATAACACCCCATAGCTCCTGAAGGACAGTGAGGACACTGCCCTATAACACCCCACAACTCAGACTGGGACAGTGAGGACACTGCCCTATAACACCCACAGCTCATATGGGGACAGTGAGGCACTGCCCTATAACACCCCACAGCTCCTGGAGGGACAGTGAGGCACTGCCCTATAACACCCCACAGCTCCTGCAGGCCCTCACCCAGCCCAGACTGGCAGGGACAGTGGGGTCACTGCCCCTCCCTCTGCTCCTCTTTCCCTGCCCCTTTCCTGATGCTCGGGGTGGCTTTGGGAGCTGCAGGGGTTGGATTTTGGTTTTGATGCTGTGGATCAGCCTGGGCTGGGTCGGGATTGTGGTGGAACATTTTTGCCCAGTTTGTGGGGTGCCCTTTTTGAACTTTTGCCAAGTTCCCTTATTTTCTCCCCCCAGTTAATAAAAGCACCTCTGGGAACAAGTCTGTGCCTCGTTGCCTCGGCACTTTCTCGAGGTGTTAAAGAACCCGAAATCCATATTTTAAAGTAAAACTCCTGGCTGAGCCCATGAGCTGCAGCTCCGGGGTTGGAATGTTACAGGGAGGGGGTTTGGGTTTTTTTTTCCATGCTGGCTGATGCAGGAATACCCCACTATGCAGGAAGAGTGGGATTCACCATAGGATTCCTCAGGGGGTGCTCCATGGTCTCCACCCTGTGTGTCCCCCTCCCTGGCAGAAGGAAGGGCTCTGCTGCCTGCAGCCACATCCAGACTCGTGGGGAAGGATGAAAACACCCCCCAAGTCGTTCCTTTTGCTCCTCAAATCCCTGATCTCGGCTTTGCTCTGTGCTTCTCACCCCAACGTGGCTTGGGAGAGGGAAGGGATGGAGTCCCCACCCCCGGAAGGGTTCCAAAGGTGCGGCTGTGGCACTTGGGGACGTGGGTCAGGGGTGGCCTTGGCAGTGCTGGGGGAATTGTTGGACTGGATGATTAATTTGGAGGGATTTTCCAACCTTAATTATTCTGTATTTTTATAGATAGAGAAACCTATTGGAAGGAAAGGGAGGGGAAGGGGAAGGGAAAGGGAAAGGGAATGGTTTGGGAAGGGAAGGTTTAGGAAGGTTTGGGAAGGGAATGTTTAGGAAGGTTTGGGAAGGTTTGGGAGGGGGAGGTTTGAGAAAGTTTGGGAAGGTTTGGGAAGGAAAGGAAGGGGGAAGGGAAGGTTTGGGAAAGTTTGGGAAGGTTTGGGAAGGGAAGGGAAAGTTTAGGAAGGTTTGGGAAGGGAAGGTTTGGGAAGGAAAGGAAATGTCAGGAAATTTCAGGAAAGGAAAGGAAATTTCAGGAAAGGAAAGGAAAGGGAACAAGGACTGGAGATAATGAAGGACATCACTCAGCAATGACCTTTTTTCTGGTTGAGGGTTCCCTTGCTGTGCAGGAACAGCAAAGCTGAGCATCCCTGGGATTTCCCGGGAAAAAACTGGTGTTCACAAAACTATCTCAGCCCCCAAATCCTGCTGGAAATGGGAAGACCGGGAGGCCACATCTGTCCTGGCAGAAGGGGAAGCAGAAGGGGAGGTGGCTGCTGCCCACGCTGCTGAAGGCGATTAGGGAAGCGATGCCACCGTGGGAGGCTCGGGAAGCGCCGGGAAGCGCCGGGAAGCGCTGCCAAGGTGGGAGGTGCCTGTCGCTATTCATTTGCGGGGCTTTCTCGGCAGGGATCCCTCTCACACCGCACGCGGAGCACCGGGAAGAACATTCCTCTTTCTTTTCGGAGAGGAGCTCGGATCGTGGATGTTGTTTGCTCGGGCTCTGTCCGGAGAGAGGAGGGAGCTTTGAGATGCCTGAGATCCTGCAGGAAGCAAAGCAGGGAATGTTCTGCCGAGTTCAGAAGGGAGAAAAATAACCAGAGTCAAACTGGGGGGAAAAAAGAGATTCAGACTCGTGGATTTGTCTGAAGAGAGAACACAGAGAGAGTCTGTTGCTCTGATTTTCTATGGAGGGACTGACACTGAGCTCTGCTCTGGGGGGACCAGGGACAGGACCCAGGGAATGGCTGGAGCTGTGCCAGGGCAGGCTCAGGTTGGATCTCAGGGAAAGGTTCTTCCCCCAGAGGCTGGTTGGGCACTGCCCAGGCTCCCCAGGGCAGTGGGCACAGCCCCAAGGCTGCCAGAGCTCCAGGAGGGTTTGGCTGATCCTCTGGGGCACAGGGTGGGACTCTTGGGGCTGGGCCTGTGCAGGGCTGAGGGTTGGGCTGGATGGTCCTTGTGGGTCCCTTCCTACTCAGCATTTCTGGAGTTAAACAGCTCCCATGGGAATGGCCCTGCAGCCCCTGCTTGGCTTTACACAGGGCTTGTGGCACCTTAAGGACGATGTCACATCCCAGGATTGGTTTGGGGATGGAAGGAGCTGAGGAACATCTCTCTGCAGGGAATGGCAGTGAAACCATCCAGCTCCTCTCCCACAGAACCACAAAGTGTCCTGAGCTGGAAGGGACTCACCAGGACCATCCAGTCCAACCCTCAGCCCTGCCCAGGACACCCCAACAATCCCACCCTGTCCCTCAGAGCGTTGTCCAAACCCTCCTGGAGCTCTGGCAGCCTTGGGGCTGTGCCCACTGCCCTGGGGAGCCTGGGCAGTGCCCAACCACCCTCTGGGGGAAGAACCTTTCCCTGAGATCCAACCTGAGCCTGCCCTGGCACAGCTCCAGCCGTTCCCTGGGTCCTGTCACATCAACCACCCTGGGAGACTCCAATTTTCTTTCTCCAGGATCACTCCTGGTGGATCCAGAGCCAGCCAGTGACCTTTGCAATGCCCCAGAAAAGAAGAAATGGCACCAACCCCACCGTGGAACAGGAGAACTGGGTCTATTTTTGGTGAGAACACTGTCCCTTTTCCAAACTAAAATTCAGGACCAGAATTCCTGACTCAGATTTACCTCCCTCATTGGGGACATAGATTTTCCCTTTGTCCCCTTGCCTGGCAGAGCAGCTTGTCCCCAACCTCAGGGTGACAGGGAAGGCCAACAGGGGCTTTTGAGATGTCCCAAGGAGGAGCAAGAGCTGCTCCATCATCCCTAAAACTCTGATCTGTTAACACAGCAAACCTGTGGCAGAGCAGGGGTTTAAACACGGATATTTCCAAACTCCAACTAAGAAGAAGTGAAAATTCTCCTTTTC